CTCTCGAGGATGGAGGAAAACCTTATCGATTTCAAGGAAATACTCAAAGAGATAGAAGAAGATAATAAAAAAGAGAGACTAGGCATGATAGGCCTACGTGAGGTGCTCTCCAATCTATAAACTTGAGTGGAGTCGAATGAGAGGTATGCCAAAGAGAGTGTTGTAGAAAAAGATGCTTTTATAAAATGGATGAAGGACATGTTCATATAACATCAAAAGTCTATGACTAGGTATGAGTAAACTCTTAAACAATATAGAAGAGATTGGATAATCTGTTGAGAAGCCATCTCTAATGGTATAGTCTTGAGGGACACATTAAAAGTTGAAGCTCCAAAACCAAGGCACTATGCTAGTAAGCGGAATGTCAATAAGTCGATAACGTTTTTGGTAAGTGGAGTAATACTTCGAGGCGATAGGCTTAAGTGAGGATAGGAGTTGTGTCGGGACTATTATTTTCTACCTTACGAGAGGATGCTACTTTATGGTGGTATCTAAAGCACTAAGAGATTAAAGAGGAAAATCAAAAGTTATTTAGTTCGGATGAATTCAAAGAAGCAATGCATACCCAATTCTACCTCAATAAAGTAGATTGGGAAGCGAGGGATAATCTATAAATATTAAAGCATACATAAATTATTTATGAGTATGTCGGAGAATATGTCTCCCTTAAACTTTAGGTACATGACAAATCGACTATGATTATATGTATGATTTCATTAAGGGACTTCAACCATGGACACAATAAGAGGTGTGAAGTCGATGACCTTAGACCTTCACTGAATCTAAGGCCATAGCTAAATCCCTAATTGAGTATAAAAAGAAGATAAAATCCTCTAAGCCAAAGAAAAACTTCAAAAGTAACCGTGGGGAGCCTACGAGAAGAAAGGATACAAAAAAAGGCAAAACAAAGCACACAAATCCAAAGGCTTTATCAAGGAGTATGAAAAAATAGAATTTAAGCCCAAGGGTTACTACTTTTACAATGAGCCATATCATTAGTGATGAGAATACTCGAAGAGACAAGTTCTCAATACCTTGATAGAGGAGAAGAAATGTGCTCTCGATCATGAGAAGCATATGGAGTCATCGCGGCTTCTCAATGCCTTGAATGTCAAGCTCTTACCTAAGGTGCCATCAAAGGATGGGGTGGATGTGAACATGAATGGCAAGGTTGCTCTTATCATGCTAGACATAGATGCCATAAATAACTTTATGGCTAAAGATTAAGCCAAGAGACTTGGTTTGGTGGTGACCAAGTCCTCGAATAGCATGAAGATGATAAACGCTTCTCCAAATTCTACTAGTGGCATATCATGTAAAGTGAATCTTGGTATTGGTGCATGGAAAGGAATGTTGAATTTTATGATGGTTGAAATGGACAACTTCAAGGTTTTTTTAGGCATGAAGTTTTTCAAACAAGAAAAAATCGAACCTACACCTCACTTGGAGAAAATGATGATTATAAAAGAAGAGACATAATGCATGGTGTCAACCAAGGTGCAAACTAGATAAAAAATGAAGCATCTTTTGGCCATGCAAATGAAGAAGGGCTTAAAGAAAAAGAAAGTCACCTACTTAGCAACATTGATAGAAGATGAGTCATAGATGATAAGGGCACATAGATGCATAAATAAATTACCAATATGTTGATTGAATTTGATGATGTGATGCCACTCGTCATTACTTAAGAAGTTACAACTTAATAGGAAAATTGATCACTAAATTGAGTTAGTGTCCAGTGCCAAGCCTCTAGCCATGACACCTTATTTTATGGCCCTTCTTGAGTTAGAGGAATTGAAGAAGCCAAACAAGATCAACATAGTGGCTGATGTACTTAGTATAAAGGCCGAGCTACATCATATGACGAAGTAGATAGGAGATCATGGCCAAAATCAATCAAGGAGGGAATTGAGTATGATCCCACCATCAAAAGTTTGTTAGACTTTGCTAGGGAAGGAAAACTCAACAAATTTAAGAGGAGGATGCCAATCTCTACACAAAATGAAGAAGAATCTATGTGCCTAAGCGGGAAACCTCTTATAAGACTTGATGAAGGAATGCCATCACTCAATATGGGCTGAACATTCGGGATAACAGCATGCACTAGAGTCTTATTAGAGGGAACATATTTTTTTATCGTAGTTATACGACAATGGAGAATCCTATGTGAGAACATGCCTAGTTTACCGATAAGATAAGATTGAAAATTGAGTGCCTAGGAGTCTATTGTAGTCTTTTCCTATTACGAAGAGACTATGAGAGAAAATCATAATAGACTATATAATGACTTTACCTAAATTAGAAAACTTTGGGAGCATTATCATAGTCTTGGACAAATTCTCTAAGTATACCACCTTCATACCAGATCCTAATGGATATGACAATTAAGAATACTTGCTAAGCTATTCTTCGAGCATGTGGTAAAGTATTGGAGTGTGCCATGACACATCATTGGTGATCGAGATCCCCAATTCACTAAAAAGATATGGTCATAATTTTTTGAGTTGTTGTGCTCGAAGCCGCACTATTCTACAAGCTTCCACCTACGGACGGATGGGTAAACGAAAGGGTAAATACATTGCTAGAGCCATATTTGAGGAACTTTATGAGTGCTAACTAGTGAGATTGGGATAAGTACTTGGATATTGCCTAATTTTTTTACAACTTGTAAACGAGTGAGTCAACTAACAAGAGTCCATTTGATATCATGACCGGCCGGCGGCCCTCACTCCATATACAACGATGCTTGGTGATAAATACCAAAAAAAAACAACCTTACTATATATTTATTGGCCGAGGGATGACAAAAACGGACGGACTTGACGTGGATGTATTTGAACAGGACTACAAAAAAGATGAAGAAATGGGTTGACAAAAGATAGAAAGACATCACCTTCTAATCGGATGATAAAATAATGGTGAAGTCGTCACCACAATAGCGTAAGGCTTTTCGAAAGGTGCACAAAGGCCTCATACATCGATATGAAAGACCATTCGAGGTAGTACACAAGGTGAAAGAGGTGTCCTATCAATTGAAGTTGCCATCGAAACTAAAGATCCATCCGGTATTCTATGTTAGTATACCGAAGCCATATCATGCGGATGAGGATGATCTAGGTCGAGGAGTTTCTCATAGGGTGTCTACGGTAGTTAAGACAAAGAAGTTGATATCATACTTGATGATTGCACCATTCGATGACATAGTGTGCTATTAAGGAAGGAGTATTATGTGAAATAGAAAGACTTATAAAAAAGCAAAGCTAGTTGGAAACTTGTCGAAGCCTTGTGATAATTCACACGGAAGGTCGAAGAGTGAAATGAAAGTACGTTGAGGATGTCGTCATATTAAATGGGGGAGAATGTTAAGTCCGTATGTATGAATTTATGAGTACTTAACTTGCAAAAGGTAAGGTCGGCTAAGGAGACAAAGATTTTGCTTTTTTCGACCTTTACTCTTGAAAACATGGCTCGGCTCTAATCAACAAAGGTTAACATGAAATGCATAAATAAATAAACTAAGGTTCCAAACTCTCAACCATTCCCTCTCTATATTATTTTGATAATATTCCATCTCTAGATTTTATTTTTATTTATTTTCAAATCTCACTCCTAAACCTAACTAAGTTTTTTTTTAAAAAAAAACAACGAAATCTAATTGAGTTTAGTTTGGATTTTTATTCTAATTTTTTTTATTTTTTGTTAAAATTTGAAATGGCATAATAATTTTGAGAGAAAGTTCCTTTCAACAAAAAAAAGAATAAGATTATAATTTTGTATACGAACATCGCTTAATGAAAATATTAACTGAAGTACTTGATTGGTAATTTAAAAAAAAATTGATGTACTCAAACATAAAAAATTAAATTCATGTACTTGATTGAAAGAAAAAGGATAAAATTATAATTTGGTATTCGAGAGTGATAAACACGTTATCAATTAATGAAAAAATGACAAAAGTACTTTATTAACAATTTTAAAAAAATTATGTACTTAAAAAAAATTAAAATTAATAAACTCGATTGAGAAAAAAACTAAAAGTAAAAATACTTACAGTGGAATTATTCCAATTATAAAGACTAAGTGCTACACTAGTACCTAATTTGAATCCATTGATGAGTGAAATTGAGGCCGCCAAGTGAAGATGAATCGTGAGTTCTCTTTAATTCAACTTAAATATGGGACTTAATTGGATATAACATAATAATTTTTATTTTAAGCTGTATTTGTTACGAGAAATTGATAGGGAGAAAGATGGATTCGATAAAGTAAAATAATTAGGAGAAGAAACAAAAAATGAAAAGGACGTGATTCTATTTATCTAAATTAGAAGGATTGAACATTATAAAGAGAAAAGAATGAGATCCAATCCATCTATATTAGGAGGATTGAAAATTATAAATAATAATGAAGAATATAGAAAGTAGCATTTGTAAAATTTTAATTTGAGGAGATTTCGTACAATTTTTAAAACATTTTAAAAAATTTGAAGACTTTGGATTGGATTGGATTGTACTTTCTTTTAATATGAATAACTACCATAAATATTTAGTTAGCAGGAAAGTTTTTGAGCAAAAATTTTTCGTTGACGAAATTCCAAATTGATTGAGTGAATTAATAAAAACATTAACATAAATTTTTAGGACACTTGGCAATATTTTATTGGGTAATTCCGTCTAGTTGATTCTAATTTATCCTCCTAATCAAATTGTTACATATTATAAAAGAAAAAAAATTGAAAGAAAAATCGGATGGTCACGATTTTTGGGGCATGCTTGCGAGAATAAATTAGATGGAGAGACGAGGCAAGAAATAATCGCTACAGCATGCAAAGCTCATAATTCAAGTGGAAAATACCCCCTTTTAACCTCCAAGAACAAATTTGAAGTGTACAATCCCATTCTTTGTACTTGCCTAATAGCACTAAGGAAATGGGCACGATTCTTTGATTCATTGCATCATCTTGATAATCTTAAGATTAAATGAAAATTTGGAATGAAAAATCAAGGTTCGGGAAGTACAGATTTTACAAATTCAAACAAAGCAGACATTCCAGCTATTATATTGTCAATCTTAAGTTTACCAACAATGGCTTGATTGTTTTGCAATGCATGAGTCTGCATAACAGCTTCATTTTTTACTAATCGAGAAAGGTCTTCTTTTTTTTGCAGTCTTTTTTCATATATGTCCTTCAGTTGCTCTTCCAATTGAGCAGCTTGATCATCCAGCAAGGTAATTTCTGCTTCTAAGTTAGAGCGTGATATAGCAGATTTGGAGATTGCAGAGGACAAATTCTCGCATCCTTGCAGAGGTGTCTTTAGTGGTGAACTAGAAGGGCAAGTGGCAATTGCATCCTTGAGCCTATCTACTTCAGCCAAGAGCTCTCTCATGGGGTGCTTCTCCCATTCGTTACTGGAGGCATTGATTGCGGCATTTAAAAGGGAGCAGAACCTATCAATTTCGCTAAGAGAGAGCAACACTTGGGGAGATTGAGACAAAAACCTTCTAAGTTGAGATGCAGCAGAAATAACAGGAGAACCGATGGTGGTTGGGATAGAAGAAGTTGTGCTTGTAGCAACAATATCAACTGGAACATGGAAAACGAAAAAAAAAACTCAGCCAAGTAATTTCTAGTTTAAAAGAAGAGTTGTACAAGGGTTGTACTAGATGAAATTACCTTCTGCAGTAGTACATCCAACTTGAGGAATACCAGCAATGGCCGTATTATTGGGTTGTTGGCTAGAACTTTGAGTTTCAATTGGTTGCAGCTACAAAAAAATTGTTTCAACAACCAATATCTCAAGAAAAAAGAACCATTAACCAATTTGAAGGAGAAATATAATATCAACAATACCTGAGCAATACGACCAAATGAGAGATGATGCTCCTGATCCTTGAGACCTCTTGCAGTTGTTTCTTTTGTAGTATAATCATCTTGAACTGTTAGCTCTTGTACTTGGTCAGAAACTACATTAGAAACTGCTGCTTGACTGATGTCTGAAACAGTTGTATCTTGTACAGCATCCACGACACTAGCAATTGCTGCTTTATCACCAAGAACATACAAAATAATAAAGTCATAAAAGGCATAGTAAGACTAAGAAAGCGAAGATAAAGGATATTGAGAGGTTACAAATAACTTAACGTACAATCATTAAAAGTTCCTTCTTCCTCTCTTTCCTTATCTTTTCCAGTATCTCCTATCTTGGCTGCCAGCTTTCTCCTCTTTGCTTGTGTAGGAACATTGGCTCCAATTGTTGATGAAGCTTTAGCTTTTGGGTTTACTTTAGTTCTGGAATCGACATTAGAAACTGATTGTTGTTTTGCATCTTCCTTCCAATCTTTAAAACATCCGTGTTTGTGTAGGTTTGAAGTTCCATTCTTGCTTTCCCCGCCTAGCTGTTTGCCACAAACTGGACATTTGGCCCATACCACACCATTTTCTTGAACCTTACTGAAAAATTCCCAAACTACAGATGTAGTTTTTCTTGGTTTAGAAGTACACTTAGTCGGCTGAGTATCAGTCTTCTTTCCTTTATTAATGCTCTTTCTCTGCTGTCTATAATGAATTTCTACCATCTGCTTATTGCCATCAACACCATTTCCAACTGCAGCATTTTGTTCTCCGACTTCCTATCGAGAAAAAAAATCAAGTAACAGTTCATGTAAACTTCGTGGAATGTCCATGATTTGCTTATTGTATAGTTTCAGATATGATACACCATCACAGCATAGTGGTAAAGCACAGACAGTAGACATGTAAACAAGGTAGACGAAGAGAAAAAATTTCCCAGGTTGAAGCAAACAGGTCATAATTGGTACCATTATGTCTGAGAACAAATGTCTTAGATGTCATCCTAACTTCCCTAACATTTTCCCAACAATCAAGAGTCATTTAAGTATAGTTAGCAAGAGCCAGAGATCCACACATAAGTCTCAATTGAGCACAAACTGATTTCTGAACAGTTTAAGTCTTTCAATACCAAAAGGAATATAACAACAAGACATAGTGAAGAAACACACCTGTTCATTAGGCTCATCTGTTTCTCCTGTGTTCTGCGGAATCAACATATTCAACGTGATCTCTTCGTTTGAATTTAAACCACCATTTGATAATGCTGAAGAAGAGCTCTCAGAAACAGCCATTGGTGAGGTGTTTGGCAACTCTCCTTCCTCAGACCCAACAGAGGACTGAGTCTCGTGTTCAAGTAATTCACATTCTGTCGCTGCTGCCTATTGAAACATAAACGAAATGATGGAGAAGTGACAAATTAGAAACTGATTTTTGAAGAACTCGAATTCTTTTATCACCAAAAACAACAAAGATACAATGACAAAGCATACCTCTTCACGAAGCTCATCTGTTTCCACTCTGTTATTTTGGAACTTTTCTTTAGTTTCCTTCAACAGATCGTCTAGTTCATCCTCCTGAATTACAACAGAGTGATTACACCAATCTAGGCTTCTAGAAATGAAGGTGAATTCACACCGCATTCTCTCACCAGAAGCAAGAGCGGAGCAATTGTTTTATAAAGCAGATAGAATCAGGATAAAATGTTAAAGCACAGGCAGCATGCACATATATGTGTAGACAAGTCAGAGCAACAGAAGCATTTCCAGGGTACAGCGAAACTAAGCAATAATTTACAGAATTATGAGTCATTTTAGTACAGGGTTTTCCGGTGGAAGCCCAATATCAATCAGAAATCAAGCTAAAACAGAAGTACTTAAAAAGCTCACAAAAGTTACTTTAGGCTAAATTTTAACGAGAGAGCCTTCATAAAACAGAACATAACACAAATAAAGAGGCACACCTGTAGCTTAAGAAATGATTTGATCGGCAACTCCATGTTTCCTGAATCTTTGCAGTTCTTATGCAAAATCAATAAGATTTCATCAAACAATTTATTCTGTTCCACCCTATCTTCCAAGTTCGTGGGGAGAAAAATTTCTAACAAATATTCAAATCTACAAACACGCCCGACCTTTAGCCTGATTGCCATAGCAGCTCGAAGGCCAAATTTTCTCGCATCATCAAAACATGGATAATCAGCTAAATCAAGCAAAGAAACATTAGGGACTAAGTAACGGTGCATCGATTTAACTAATTTGACATATCCTTCCATCGAAGAATCATAAACAGCATCCCTATATTGTAAAATACCACCAAGGGGGGATCCATATAAGAGCAAGTGGCAACTTGAGAAGATGGCATGCAGTTTTCAACATCTCGTGTACCTCTACTAACACATCTTTGTCAAACATGTCGTTGAGGCAGGACCTAAAAAAAAGGAAAAAAAGGACAAATCTCTTCAGTCTTCAGTAACAAATAAAAGAAAACTTCCGTGCCCATCTCGATCCCCTGTATAGATGATGTCGGGGATCGTGCAGATAACGGCGTCGCAAAGAAACGCATTTAGAAGGGAAAAAACAAACTGTTTTCATTTCATCAGTAGTTAACTTACTCGGACAGGTCAGACGTGGCGGGCGAGAAAATTGGTCTGAATAACTCTTCTATATTCCTTCAAAATCTTCTCTACTCAAGTGTGATGAAAAAACCAAAGACCAGAAAGAACACCATCTGTGTCCTTGATACCCAATTTATATCTTCCTGGTATGTACCTGGAAGTGGCTCAATCGGGTACCCGGAAGTATTTTTCTGGTCAAACTTCTTTAGGGTTTTTTTTTAATTTTTGTTTTTTAGAATTTGAGAGAAAGCAAAAAAAAAAAATAAATAAAAAATAAAATAAAATAAAAATGACAAATAAAATTATTTATTTATTTCTATACATAAAGACGGAGAAAAGGATGAGCACTTTGAATTTTTTTAATTTTGCTTCAGATTTTTTAATTTTTTCATATATTTTTTAAAAATCACATGTCAACATCTTGTAAATCTATCGTCGAAAATTTATTTAATTATTGTAATTTTTGACCGGATTGATGAAATCAAGATATAAATTAAACATCGAAGGATATGATTATTGAAAAAATTAATAAAGCGATATGATAAATACAAAATAAAAGAATAAATAAACAACCTTAACATTTAATCCATGTTTTAATTAATTGTAATTAAGGTTTATATGAGCTATAAACTAAATTCGATGAGCTTGTCTATGTGCACGGAAGAACATCTCAAAATTATTATTTTTAGGGTTATATTCCTAAGCATAACGTGGTTCCGCCATTGGATTGGAATAACCATATAGGGTCCCTTCCTTCAGTCGGGTAATGCATCATGAAACTAAATAATCGGGTCCTTGTGCGCGCTATGAGCTAGCCAGTACTCAATGCGGGGCGTTTCACTGTTCTCTCCAACCGGGTAGTCCAACAATCCATTTCATAGAATCATATGCCCTTTCTTTCAATCGGGTGATGCCACAATTAATTTCATCTTATTAGACATACTGAACAGGTAGTTCCCATTTTATCTGGAAAGTTACTTTGGATCTAGTGTTCTCTTTGAGTTGGATTTTTTAAAAAAAATATATAATAAAAAGTTTTCTTTTTAGCTTTTCAATCCGCCTTTAGACATACTGGATAGGTAGCACACGTTTTATTTGGAAAGTACTTTGTGCTTTTTGAGTTGGATTCTATTTTATTATTATTTTAAGATTCCTTTTTGAACTTTTCTCTCTTCTTGTGAGTACCCAATCATTCTCATGAGGACCCAAAATCAAGAGGAGCCACAGGTGAGAAAAGTCACATGCAGACAAAGTTAACGCTCGCACCTGTAGGCCCAAACCGCGTTCCCAACAAGTGACAATACTCCTTGTGGTATTCAAGCTGGAGTTAAGAGCAACCCTTTTCCTTGTCCTAACATACAGCAAACTTCATTTGCCGTGCCACTATATTTTGGAGAGTGCTTGCAATTTGAAATATTTAGAAGTCTAAACTAGAAGAATTCTCTTTTTGAATCTTGTTTTAATTGCTATTATTTATTGCTAGTTGCTTTTGGCTTTAATGAGAACGAACTAAACCAGTTTGCACTTTTGATGTTAAGCATCATTCTTGTCCTCCATGTCCCATAAAAACATACCCGAATTGATTGGAACATACTCATCTAAACCTGGCAACTTTATTTTTGTTACTAAATTACGAGATAATTAATGATTTTGTCAAAAGAAGAACATAATCAAGAGTTTGAATGAATGAAAGGCTACCCTATCCGATTATCAACGCCTAGGAAGAATGAGTCTCTTTCTTCAAACTTTTCAAGAAACGCAGTCTCGAAGCCCCAAGGTGAATCAAATTTGTTTGCTTTCATTGTTTTCTTTTCAGTCTCTTTTGTCACCAAGAAGAAATGTTATTTTTTTTCTTTTCTAGGTTCTTACCGTGGCGAAACGATCGCTTGTTGATCATCAGCTACAGAAGTACCACAGCAAGTACAATAGAATAGTGTTAAATTATATTTAGGCAACAAATATAAAAACTCAAATCACTAGTAGAATAAAAACTCAAATCACTCGAATTGTTGAAACTAATTTAGGCAACAAATTTTTAAATACTTTGGAGAATGGATAATTTTGATAATTATCTGATTTTTTTTTTTTTTTTTTTTTTTTGGTGGAGTTGGGTAATATCAAAAACAAAAAAAATTCGGGTTACCTAAATTATATTTAAAAAAAATTAAAGGACTTGATATTTTTAGCTATTTAATTGCATTTTTTTATTAAAAAATAATGGGTAATTAAATTTTCATTTTCGGATTGGGTCCAATAAATTCAGGAACATAAAAAGAATTCCAATTAGATAATGTAAAAAGTTATACATAATTATCCAAAACGGTAAATGTTTTAATTTGAACTAAAAGGCTCATCCTAGCTAGTGATATACATTTTTATGAAGTGTTTGTAATAATACTAGCTAATGATATATGATTAACTTTTTATATTAGATTAAATTAAGGGTAATTTTGTCAAGTAATTGTCTTAGTATTTCATAGAATCCTAAAAAATTATAGAGTAACACACAAAGGTATGTTTTAATTTATTAACAAAATAAATATACATATTTTGCTAGTATTTTCTTTCAACTTAATTAATTGTGTTTTTCCACCCAAAAGAAAAAAAAATCGGATAACTATCAAAATTATCTATTCTCCAAAATATTATTTACAAATTGTTACCTAAATTATTTTTGGTAATTCGAGTGATTTGAGTTTTTTTCTCTAATAGTGCTCAACTTCACTATCTTAACTGTCTTCATCTTTGAAAAACCTTCAAAGACTTACTGGTTAACGAGCAAAAGCACTATTTTATTTTTAAATTGCTGACTAATTTATAAATTAACTCATGCATGTGTTCTTATTTGAGATCGATTTTAAGCCAGTTCAATTCCTTTTATTCCATGTTAAAGATATACTAGTGGTATCTAAATAGAAATTGGGATTAATAAAGTACAAACTTTTAGCATACTGCGTAAGAAGCAAGAATATTAATATATACTATTAATGCCTTAATAGCATTAAATTAAACCTTTAGAAGTTAGAGGATTATAGTACATATTTATATTTAGCTATTGCACAAAAGAGATCACAGTTTTATGATTAGAGGTATTTTTGGATTAATTTACCTATCAATCAAGATTTTGTTATGAAACAATGAATGTCAATATGAATGTTCATATAGTTTTCATATTTCAACTACTCATGATTCATTTAATTCATTATTCAGTATAAGAAATTAAAAGGGTGATGTAATTAATGTACTTTTAATTATTCATAGTCCCTTCCAATTCTCTTCTCAATTTTGAAGCCTATAAATAGGTTTGATTGTTCGGTAGTTGTTGTACAAGTTTTTAGAGAGATTAAGAGAAAGTTTGAAGTTCTTATCACTTGTATTCACCTTATAGTGAATTTATTTTCTTTTCTTCCTTTCCTTCAATTCTCCTATTATTTCTATTTGTTTTATAACACGTTATCAACACGATTGTTCTACTAAACGACGCAAATCATCTAGATTATTAAGAAATGTTTATCTAATTATTCTTTTACTTTAAATCTAATGGTATATAGTATCTATTTGAAAAACTTGAATAATCTAATATATAATCTAATGCATGTTGTTTTGAGAAGTTTGAATATTATTTTTATGTTTGTTTTTATTTTCTAATGTCATTGTTATATCTTGTATTATAGAATTTTTATCATGTCAAACCTCACAAAGCTTGATTTTATGGCCCTTGACATTTCGGGCAAGAATTATTTATCAATTATGCTTGATGTTGAGATACATTTAAATGCTAATGGTCTTAGACAAACAATCATGGATGATAATCAAGAATCCTTGCAAAACCATTCTAAGGCAATGTTCTTCCTTCGTTATCATCTCCATGAGGATTTGAAAACTAAATACTTTATAGTAAAAAATCCACTTGAACTGTGAAACAATTTAAAAGAAAGATACAACCATAAAAAGACAATAATTCTTTCAAAAACTCGTTATCATTGGATACACTTAAGGTTATAATAAGATCAAAACGAGTAAGTGAGTGTAATTCGTAGTATTTAGAATCAGTTCTCAACTAACATTGTGTTGAAAAAAATATTGATCATTCAAATATGTTAGAGAAAACATTCTCTACTTTTCATGCCTCGAATATGCTCATGTAACGACAATATCGAGAAAAAAGTTTTAAAAAATACTCTAAATTGATTTTATGCCTACTTGTGGCTAAACAAAATAACGAGCTACTCATGAAAAATCATGAATCCTACCCAATCGGATCTACTCCATTCCACGAAGTGAATGTGATATCTTATAATAATTTTAGGAGTAGACGAAGATGCGATCGCCATGGATGTGGACGTGGTCGTGGCAATAATTACGATCAAAATAATTATCATTATAATCGTGGTGGTAATAATAATACATCTCACAATCAAAAGTGGATAAATTATGAAAGAAACAAGAAAAGAATAAAAGTGGATTAAATCGGCATTTCGAAAATGAATGTTAAAGATGTGGTATGAAGGGATATTGATTGCATACTTGTCGTATAAGCACCTAGTTGAATTTTATTAAGTCTCATTGAAAAAGAATGAAAATGATATAGACATAAATTTTATATACTAAAATAATGATTGTGGCAA